CCGCGGGCGGCGGGACAGCCGCGGCGCGTCTGGGCTGTCCACTGCCCGCGTGCTCCCCGGCTTTGCTCCCCGTCTCCCTGGTCTGGGGAGACGTGGAGCAAAGCCGCAGAGCACGCGGGCAGTGGACAGCCCAGACGTCTCCAGCAGACCAGGGAGACGGGCAGCAAACCCCGTTCGTAACTGCGGATCCGACATAATTCGGATCCGCGTAACTCGGAGACTGCCTGTACTTTAGATTTTTCTTTTTATGACAATGTGAGAATATATCAAGATTTTTATTATATATTTTTATAAGATACTAGATGTAACAGGAAATGAAGTTTCATAAATAACACATTGCACACAGCACAGATGCATTTGTATACACACTCACCCACGTTGTTTTACTGCTTTTTTGAATGAAATATTGGTGATTGCAAATTCATCAAATAGTAAAAATCTGAGCCCCAACTGGGTAATGTATCTTACTGCTGATTCATCACTGCTACTTTGACATAAAGGAGTCATTATTTTATCTTTCTATTACTACAGAAAACCCTTTACTGTTTTATGGAACATCTATAGACCAAAAAAAAAAAAATTCTCTTAACATCTTATCTGTGAAGTGGGAGGAAATTAGCAAACTTCCCCCCTTCACATTGTATGTTTAGATACCTCTGATTATGGTTATAATCTTTTTTAGCAGGATGACCCAAGATACTGCTGGTCTTAAATTGAGCTTTGAATATTGGCTGGATAAGGCTGTTCAGTGGGGTCAAACCACTACTTTGGAATCCCAGCAAGATGTCTGCCTTCACTTGCCTAAATTACAGGAGTTTCTACAGCAGATTTATGAATCCTTGAAACATATGGTAAGTAATTTAGCTGGAAGAATGAACTGTTTTGAAGACTGCCTCAAACAATCTGCACCCCATATTTCGACAAAATCAGAAAGTGAATGGTAGCAGAGAGGCTTGTGGTATTTACCCTAATGTATTGCTGGATCAGAGAGGCAAATTGGGGAAACAGCCACAGGTAATACAAACAGGAATGTGTTTCCTGTGTTCCTGATTTATTGTGAAAGGTGCTTTTTCTTGATTGGTTATGTTGTCACATGAGATTTCCTAGCCAATCAAGTAGACTCTTTTTAAAACTCTTTAAAATAAACACAAATTTGATTCTTGTTGTCAGGTCATAAATTGGATTATTTAAAGGCCTTTACATGCAAAATTGTAACTGATCCCTTAAATCCTAAAGAGTGTGTTGACATGCTAAACCCAGTGCTGTGGGATATATAGTGATTTCCAGCATTATGGTCAGATTATTGGCAAATGTTACTAACTATTCTGGTTAGGATTTGAGTATTGTATTTATTTTGCTTTTTTAAATGAAGTCAGGTGAAGTAGGTGGTTTTTTCATATAACTTTTGCGTTATAGCAGTTTTCAATAAAACAGTATCAAATTGTGAGGTTAAAATATTCTTCACCCATGAAAAGATTAACAAAAAAGAAGGTATTGATTTTTTTATCAAGTTTAAGTGCAAATTTTCGAAATAATTTTTGAGTACTGAGAATTTGTGTGTGTGAATGCACATTTTAAGAACAGATATTATTTTAAATGAAAATAATAATAATAATATCTTTTTTTAATATTGCTACTTTGAGTAATTTCTGAGGTTTAGCCTCAAACGGACCTTCTATATGGCCCCAGCAAGTCTAGGAACAGCCTTAATCTGAGGAATTTATTGCAGCAGCAGGAGACGGTTATTGTTTCTGCTACTTACACATTATCTCAGCACACTACCATTTTTAAAAGCATTCATTTATTAGACAGTAAAGCTACAAATACTGAAAAATAAGCCTGATTGCATAAGAGTCTATATAAACCCTGCTATCTACTACTTTTTATAGTGAAGCTGCTTTCTATTTTGTTGACTGTTCCTTGTTTTTTTGGTAGGTTAGTGTCTGTTAAATTTTATGTTGTGACTGACATGTTATGATGTCATTTCTAATGCTGTAAGCAGGAGTAGTAAAATATGTAGATACAGTACTTATCTTTATTCAATAGCTTCTTTTAATTTCTTCACAAATTCCATTGTATAATGTAAGAAAACTGTAGGGATAAACAAATTATATTAATTGTATTTTACTACCAGGTAGTTTATGTTACTTACAAATATTATAGATTTTCCTGACTACTCCACATGAGGAAAATGAAGTTAATTTTCTAATGTAATTAAACACTGCCCTAAGGGAAATATTGCTTAGCTTTAGCTAACCTTGATGAAGTATTAAGTTTCAGTTCTGGCCTGAAAGATTTGCTTTTATTAAATATTTGAAGGACTTCTCCTTAATGTGTACCTTTAGCAAAACAATAATATAATTTACAGTTATCTAGGTAATTATAATCACACATTTTTGGTCTTCAATACATTGTTTTTGTTTACAGAACTCTACTACAGCAATTCAGAGATTCCCTTTAATTGGTCAACTACTAGGAAGGCTTTGTTGGAATCCCTTTGTTGTAGGATATGGTAAGATCTTGAAACTAGTTTTCTGCAACAATTTCCCTTTCAATTTTTTTTTTAATTTCTAGGCATATACTGTGGCAATTTGAGGAGGGAGGGATAGCTCAGTGGTTTGAGCATTGGCCTGCTAAAACCAGGGTTGTGAGTTCAGTCCTTGAGGGGGCCACCTAGGGATTTGGGGCAAATCTGCAGGGATGGTACTTGGTCCTGCCATAAGGGCAGGGGACTGGACTTGATGATCTCTCAAGGTCCCTTCCAGTTCTATGAGATAGCTATATCTCCATAAAAACATGGAAATGTACATAATTTGTTGTGAATTTTTATTGATTCAAAGCAATAGTAATTGTTCTACAATCTTACCTCTGTTCTAAAATCCATCTGTTCCGTCTTCCCTTGAATAAGTGAGAGGTTTTTCAAGACATGTGGAAGGTAACGGGTCTCAGTAATGACCTGCCTCTTTCTTTTTCCCAGAACCTTCTCTAAAGTACTTGAATGAATTCTTCCTGGCTGAAAATGTTATTTAAGACTCTAACCTCTCCTCCTAGCAATTACTTAAAATTCCTTTGTACAGTTTCTGCTTAGACTTTTTCCACTATTCCCAGAGATCTTGGGGGAAATGTAAAATCTCTTCATAGCAACTGTCTGTTGTTGGCACTGCCCTTTCTTCAGATGGGTGAAAGCTATATATATATCATGTGCTCTCTATGGATAGTAATTCAGTGCTTGAATAATAAAAATATGGCAATAGGGATATAATACTTGACCACCTTATCAGGATGTGGATAGTGATTGTGAAATGGTCAGAGAGATTAGGGAGACTATAAAAAAATCCTTAAAGTGTAGTTTTTTGTATATGTCACAAAGGGCACCGATTCCGTGACTTCCCGCAACCTCTGTGACTTCTTCAGTGCCCAGTGTGGCTGATCCAAGGGCTGCTCAAGCAGCGGGCTCCACCTTAGGGATAGCCACGTCAGACACTACTGGAGCAGTTCTGTAGCCAGTTGCTTAGGCAGTTCTGTAGTCAGCTGCACTGGCTGCTGTTTGCCTCTGGGGGCCAGCTAAGTAGCCACTGCTCAGCAGCTTCTTACAGCAGTCCCCTAGGACAGCTGAAACAGCCACTGCTAGGTGAACCTTGGAAGCTGGTGCCACTGGCCACATGCCCCCTAGCACTGGTCTCCTAGAGCATCCCCTCCCCCAATACGTAGAGGTATTTATAGTGTAATTCATGGATGGAACCATGAATTTTTCTTATTGTCCTTGATCCATCTATGACTTTAAGAATACTTGTGACTGAATCATACCCTCAATAATGGGGGATTTCAATTGTCCCCACATTGACAGCTTTCAGAGGTAGCTGTGTTAGTTTGTTTCAGCAAAAACAAGTCCAGTAGCATCTTAAAGACTAACAATTTTATTATAATACAAGTTTTGTGAGTTCCGACTCACTTTATCGGATGCATGGAGTGAAAGAAAAAGAAACAGATAGAAGGGATACAGAGATGGGAGTGTTACATCCAAGCTAATTCAATCAGGGTGCATGTGGTTAAGAAGGTGAGAATACCTAAAGTGGAAAATTACTTATTGTAATGAGAGAACCATTCCCAGTTCCTATTCAGACCATTTCTTATGTGTTGAATTAGCATATGAATTCCAGCTCAGCAGTTTCATGTTGCAGCCTATTTTTGAGTTTTATTTATTTATTTATTTATTTAGCTTGAGGATGGTAACTTTCAGATCTGTAACTGTGTGCTCAGGGAGGTTAAAATGTTCTCCCACTGATTTTTGTTTGTTACCATTCTTGATGTCTGATTTGTGTCCATTTATTCTGTTGCATAGGGACAGTCCAGTTTGTCCATTGTATATGGCAGAGGGGCATTCTTGGTGCAAAATGGCATATATTCCCAAATTGATTATTGACTGGGTATATGTTACTCAGCGCAAGATGCAGAGATAAAATTTCTTGACATTTTAAATGACTGCTATTGGAGCAAATAATTCTGGAACCCACTTGATAGTAATGACCATAAGATAATACATCTTAACATCCTGTAGGGAGGAAAATACCAAAGCAGGCCACCATGGCATCATTTGCTTTCAGAAAGGGGAGCTACAAAACCAGGAAGTTAAACAAACAAAAATTGAAAGGTTCAGTTGCCAGAAGTGAAATCTTTGCAAGCTGAATGGATACATAGTAAGTGGACCAGAGAAGTGTTACCAGGACTAAATAACCAAGTAAAAGAAGCAGTTAGCAGCAAAAAACATCCTTTAAAAAGTGGAAGTTAAACCCTATTGATGGGGAAGATAGAAAGGAGCATAAACTCTAGGAAGTGAAATGTAAAATATAATTAGGAAAGCCAAAGAAGAATGGCCAAAGACTCAAAAACTAATAGCAATTTTTGTAAAGCACATCAGAAGCAACAACCGGTGGTTTGTTTAAAAACACGATTAAAAAAAAATTAAAAAATCAGGTTTGTTTATTTAAATTAGATTTTTTTATTTATTTTTAAAAATAATCAATAAAATACTAAATTTCTCATTTAAAAAGAACTTACAACTAAATCTTATCACAAACATGCCACACTTATAGTCTCATAAAAAAAGAATTAATGGATCTAGTCTAGTGTTTCTCAAAGTGGGCCGCAGGCCTATTGCGAGAGAGCTGCTAACGTGCTGCTTCCGTTTGTTTACTTACCGGCTGCGGAGCCTCGCAACTCCCATTGTCTGTGGTTCGCTGTTTTCAGCCAAGAAAGCTTCGCTCCTTCCTGTGGCTCCTCTTGGCTACATACAGTGAACCACAGATAATGGGAGCTGTGAGTCTCTGTGGCTGCATAGCCGGTAAGTAAACAAATGGGAGTGGCCTGATGACTGTTTTCTCCGAGTGGGCTCATGGTCCACTTTGAGAGATACTGGTCTAGTCTGTCCAACCTAACAACCATCTCTTGCTTCTTGAAAGTTCTGGGCTTTCAATTTCTGTTTCTCATCAGTTTAATATGTACAAAGACAGCCACAGTCTGGATAGAATTGTTTTTGTTCTGTGCTTATGTAGTGGTGGACCGAGGCCAACCACAGCAGAGTTAGTTAAGACATTGTCTCAAGACAGAGACACAATATATAGGAAAGGACAGAGGCAGCATAGAAAGGAACAGTGAGGTGGGCTGAAAAGAAAAAGGGAGGATATTATTCAGCGTGCACACACAGTTTCCTATATTCCCTGTACTTTTGCCATAGAAAAACTGTCTTGGCTTCTGGGTGTAAAAGAGACCCTGCTGGGGAATATTTTGAAGAAATGTGTTTCCTGGGTAAAAAAGGGAAAATGTGTCAAGTGTAAGTGCAAGATGATGATTCAGGGCCTAGCTGCAAGAATGAAACATCATAAGGAAAACTTCTTATTGAAAGGAAATGATGCACGTTGTTTTTCAGACATACCTGAATCAACTTTGCAATGCATCATCCTTCAGTATTCTCTAAGCCTTTTAATTTGTGTGATTTTAACAGATTTCCAAGCTGTTTGCTCTGTTGGATGTTGCTCCAAAAAATAGTTCAGCTAAAATAATCCCTTATGGCTTGTTTAATTAGGCTTAGAATCTATCAACCGAACATATAGTACAGGAAGCTGTAGTAAAAGAAATCTAAAGTTGCCAGTTCTCACTGAGTGTCATTTTCTTATTTTATATTACATGTCGCTTATTTTGGAATATCATGGTCACAGACCATAATGGTGATGCCATAAGTCTATTCCCTATTTTATTTCAGCATATCTCAGCTTTCCCAAAGGAACCCCATTCTATACTTGTTTTCAATGGGACTTACTCCAAAATTAAGTGAACTCTATGCACAGTCTTAGCTTTTTTGGTACCTTGGAATCAGATCTGCATCAGAATGACAGTGGAGATGGGGAAGATGAGAACTAGTTGTAAGGATGTTATATATGTAGTGTTCTGAGAACTTCTCTGTTAGTTAATAAAATTAAAAATTAAGAAAAAAGTTGACAGCTGTCGGCTGGCAACTCAGAAAACTGCTGCAATTGCAAATGTGAAACATTTATGTAACATTCAAACTTTAGTTTAATAAAATGTAAGTGCTATTGTGTTTGTGTATTGATTTAGTTCTTACTAATCCTAATGTACTCTTGCTGCATGTGCAGCTTGACACAGGTAAAGAGTATTATATACTATTTCCTAAATTAATAAAAATCAAGTTTTTCTTCGAGTAGTGTCCCCTTGGGTGCTCCACTGTAGGTGTTGGGCTTGTCCTGGCTCCACAGATTGGAGATTCGTCAGCAGTGGTCAGACGAACCGTGCATGTGCATCAGGTGCCTTGTGCCGTTCACGCCATTTCTTAGAGTGCGAGGTCCAGCTCTCGCCAGTTCCTCTTAACCGTCCTCGGTCACAGACAGAGTGAGCTCCCTCTCATCAGAGCCTGTCAGGAATTAGAATAGTTGTTAGTTAACAGTTTATTAATTAGTTGTAGAGTAAATAGTTGTAGTTTGATTAGTGTTGATAGTAGTTTTGCTCTTCAAAAAAGCGAGAGAGAGACAGACAGATGAAGTTGTAATACTGCGTCTTTAGTATGAAATTTACTTTTTCTGAGAGAACAATCATGTGGGGATCATCCGGTTTTAAGAAGTGTGCCACTTGCCGGGAACCTATACCCGCTTCAGATGGGCACTCCCACCTCATCAGGTGCCTGGGTGAGGGGTATATTCCACAGAAATGCCTTCACTGTTCCAAGTTGACGGCATGAGCAAGACGAGACAGGGAGATAAGGCTTAAAATGCTTTTATTCAACAAGGTATTGCAGCAGCCGAAAGACAGTCTGATCCCTCCTAGCCCAAATCGGAGTCTACTAAAGCTGACAAGCGATGGTAGGTCTCGCCAGGGCCCACTAATGTCACCAAGAAAAGGCCCTCCCAACTCGCTTGTTGATGCCGACCTGGGTTAGTGTTGGGAATAAGCCAGATACTTCAGGGACGACTCTTACCCACCGCCCAAAGACACGGAAAACAG